AAATCGGCAAGATCAAACCCGATAAATAATATACATAAAACTTGAGTATGGGTATTTTACACGCTTATCTTGAATCTAGGGATGTTGATTAATATATTTGATAACAATATGACAAAATACTAACCATAATTATTTCTAAGAAAACTACTGAGAAAGCTGATCAGTAACGTTCCGCGTCTGAACCCTACTGAGGAAGCAAAGCGTCTGAGCGGTCAAGTTACAAGAGCGCTCCAACCTTCACAAAATGTTCGAAAAGGAAAACGTCAACGAACAATTCTAGAGGGACTATTTTAAAATTTCAATATCGATGGAGGAGGGATATTCATTTAAGTTTGGTTTAATATCCAAATCCAAAGGCTTTCCAAAATGTTGCGGTCCAAATCATATTAGGAAGGGTCAAGAATTTCAAAGTTGTTATAAGAGAAGGGATGATTTTCTGATTTTTTTTTTTTTTTTTTTTAAGAGTGATGTCTAATTGAAGACTTTGTAGGGTTTGAGAGCTTCAAATTCTTATTCTCATATGAAAAGCCTTTATGCTCTCCCATGCGCATAAATGGATTGTGGGATGTTTTAGAAAGAAAATGTTTGTTTTTCTCCTAACACTGATCGTAAAGTTCATTGTATGTTTCCGCTTCCCAATTGGAAGTTCCACGGCAATTACCATATATACATACATACATACACACACACACACACACACACACATACACACACACACACACACACATACATATAGATAGATAGAGATAGATAGATAGATAGATAGATACTGCCAGAACTAACCCTCGGCGTAGCAACATTAACAGTGATTAAAATTCTAAATTCTTTAATGAATGACGCTTTGCTTAATATGTGTATTGAAGAATTCCTTAATAAGAATTAAAGCTGCATAAAGATATCCCAAATCTTCTCATATTTTTATGCATCCTCGCAACTTAACAGAATAAATAATCAAACCTTATTCACAGCGACACATGCAGAAAAGGTATGAATGAGAATGGATATTTTCACACTGGTTTCGGATATAACTTCGTCAGAAATACATGCTCTTGTATGGTGAATATATATATATATATATATATATATATATATATAATATATATATATATTATATATATATATATAATATATATAATATTATATATATATATTTTTTTTTTTTTTTTTTTTTTTTTTTTTTTTTTTTTTTTTGCATATACTTCTCTACATGTGTCGTGAATACGGTTTATTTATTAATGTTTATGGAACAAGCTGCGCATATGCATAGCATTATGGGAAAAACTGGGTAAGTTTTAAATATTTTTATTAATCTATTTTACTCATTTAGATTCATTTATCAATTTTACTTCTTTCATCTATTTTCCATAAAAAAACATCTCTTTCTCACAGACTGGAGGAAGAGCAGCGTGACATGAAGGGAGCCCCGGGCGATCTGCTGGAGGAGGGCGTGAGAACCGGTGACCTGAGCGTGGGCGGCGATGTGGGCGTGACCCTCAGGTGCACCATTTACACTGTGGGCGTCGGGATGGTGCACGAGCTGTGTTCCGCCCGCACCGTGTCAGCTGCCTTGTGTGTTCAGCGGTGTAAGTACTTGTGTGTATTCATTTGCGTGTGACTTTGTGTGAAGGGGAATGGATATGTGTGTGTTTGTGTGTGGGTGCGCGCGTGTGTGTGTTTGTCTGTGTGTGTGCAAGTGGTTGTGGTTGTGTGTGTGTGTGTGTGTGTGTGTTTGTGTGTTTATGTGTGTGTGTGTGTGTGGTGTGTGGTGTGTGTGTGTGTGTGTGTGTGTGTGTGTGTGTGTGTGTGTGTGTGTGTGTGTGTGTGTGTGTGTGTGTGTGTGCTTGCTTGCTTGCGTTCCATGAATGTGCGTGTACACATGCATATCTAAAATGCACGTGCACTCAACGTATAAAAAAGAGACAAATTAAAAAGAGGAACAAATTAACAAAATAAACAAAGGGGAGAAACAGGAAAAGAGTCTCTCGAGTTTCATCTGCTCCCTCCATTCGCCCGAAACGAAGAGTAATTATCAACCATTTGGCCGGATGAGAAAAAATTACGGTTGCGCGGAGACGGGCAGAGATAATCGGAGAAAGAGAGAGAGAGAAGAGATAATAGAGAGAGAGAAGAGAGAGAGAGAGAGAGAGAGAGAGAGAGAGAGAGAGAGAAAGAAAAGAAAGAAGAGAGAGAGAGAGAGAGAGAGAGAGAGAGAGAGAGAGAGAGAGAGGGGGGGGGGGGGGAGGACAGAGAGCGAGAGAGAGAGAGAGAGGTTAGAGAAAGGAGGAAAAGGAAAGAAGCAAAGAAAAAGAAATATGATGAATGGATAAGAGAGAGAGAAGGAAAAGAAAACGAGGTAGTGCGGGAGGGAAATAAAGAGAGACAGATAGATAAACAAAGAAAGATAGAGAGGGGGGAGACAGATAGATAAACAGAAAAAAGAGAGAAACAGACCGACAGTCAGAGAGGTGGAGGGAAAGAGAGAAAAAGAGAGAGAGACAGGGACAGACAGAGAGATAGAAAGACAGGCAGGGAGAGAGGGAGAGAAAGAGACGGACAGACAGACAGACTGAGAGAGAAAGAGAAAGAGAGAGAGTAAAAGAAAGAGAGACATGGAAAAAAAGAGAGGGAAAAGAAGAGAGAGACAGCTAGATAAACAGAGAGAGAGAGAGAGAGACGGACAGACTGAGAAGGAGAGAAAGAGAGAGAGAGAGAGAGAGGGACAGGCAGACAAAGAGACAGACAGACAAACATAGACAGACAGAGAGGGAGAAAAAGAGACGGACAGAGATAGAGAGAAAGAGAAAAAAGAGAAAGAGGGATGGGTCATACAGACAAACAGACAGCCAGCCATGAAGAGAAGGAGAGAAACTGAACAAGAGAGAGAAAGAGGAGGGGGACAGACAGACAAAAAGACGGACAGACGGACAGACAGACAGAGAGGTTGAGAACGAGACGGTCAGACAGACAGAGAGAGAGAGGGAGAGAGAGGCAGACAGACAGACAAACAGACAGAGGGAGAAAAAAGAAAGGAAGAAGCCGTTTCTCAATGCCTCCGTGTTGCAGATCATTGCAAAAGACAATGAGAGGGTTAGGTTTACCGGATTGGCTGAAGTAGAAATAGGCTTCACTAAATAGGCTTTGTGTGAAATATGTTACTTCTCGTATGGATAGATAGATAGAAGTATGATCAAATAATCTGGAGATTTACCAAAAATAATGATTGTGTAGGTAAATTGATAAGCAGATTTATTACAAAAAGTGAATATAGAGTTACGATATGAGGGTCCACCAGCCGATGTTTATATTCTAATTCATATTTTGCGTTTGATTTATTTGCTCAATCATTTATTAATTTAACCGTTGTTTGGGGTCAATTCATGATTTTTTTATGTATTAATCCCCCCCCCCCCAGTATCAAGCGAGCGCCCCCTAAGCGACGTGTGCCCCCCTTCCCTCGCCGTCCCTGGGTGCTGGTGAGCGCCAGGTGGGGTCGCCGCCCCTCAGGACGTGGAGGAGACCAGTGTGACAGTTTCGGGCCTCCAGGTGTGCCATCACCATCACCACCATCTGGGTTATTCCCACTGCCACCCAGAGGTAAGGAGTTCCACGGGCGTTTTCGTTGGGTTTGTGTGGATTTTTGACGCCCGTGGCTTGACTCTTTTTTTCCATTTTCAATCTTTTCTAAGGACTGCACTGATAGAATCGAATCGTAATACTAATGAAACTAGGATAACAACACAAATAGTTAGGAGTTTGACAAACTAGTTAACTCGGTTTTGCGTCCGCAGAGTGGCTGGGCCCAGGTGGTGTGCCCCCCTGAGCCCGCGTCGCCGCACCACCGCAAGGGTCCGAAGAGGTTCCATCGCGGCCACCGCAGCCGCAAGGGCCAGTCCCACAAGGTGTTCGCGGCCTCTGACGACGAGGGCAGGGAGGCGCAGGGCGAGAGGCCCAGGATTGCCAAGAAAATTGATCTCGGATTTTACAAGCCGGATGAAGCGCGGAGGATCAGGAGACAGGCTGACACTAAGCCTGAAGACGTAGAAAGCATTTTGCTGAAGTTCAGAGGTGGTAAGAAAATAACGAATAATGATGGTACCAACAAGGATAACAAAGATATGAAGGTGGAGCAGCTTGTCGACGAGCCTGAAGTACAGAAGCCGGTGGAGCTGGAAGGCGAGCAGCAGCAGAACGTGATAGAGGAATCAGACACAAAGTCCGAAGATCAGCAGGTGACTCCGAAGAGTCCTCTGCCCACAGAAGTGTCAGACGAAGAGAAGGGACCCATCATTGTGGTTGCTTCAGGACCGATATTTGTTCACGATGCGCTGCCAACCCCTGCACAAAAGGAAGAGCAAGTACCGCCAACAGGTAAAGGGACAGTTGTCGAAGTCGACATAACACAAACAGAGAGTGTACTCATCGAAGCTTCCCTGGCAGACGAATCCGCGGAGGAGCACATGGACGAATCTTTCTCCGGGGTTGAAGTAGCCGGTGAAGCTGAGGAACAGAGCGCGCCCGCGCAGACCAGCGGAGGCCAGGACGACGCAGCCGAGACGGCGAATCGCCCCATAATCTTCCCCGAAGACCCGCAGCCTCCGAACCCCGACCCGACGCGAAGTCTCATTAACGAGAGGGGGATGGACGAAGGATATCCCATCAGCTCTGGCCAGGACGCGCCGAGTGGGGACCCAGGGTCTGAGGGGACGCTACCACCGGCCTCCAGCATCATCTTTCCGGGAGATGACACGCCTGCAAGTGACACTAACGGTGCGGAGTCCTTCGCACGTGAAGAGGAAGGGCCAGATGAGCCTCCAGTAACCACGGTGCAGACGGTGGCGCTCGTACCTGTCATCAGAGATGCCATGCCGGAAGGAGAGGAGGACCTAACTGACATGGAAGTGAATCCTGAAATAAACGAAATTCAAGACACGGATGATGCACCTGAAGCTGGGGAAATGGCCGATAAACCTAAGATGGACACGACTGGTATGTCAGAGAAGCCTGCAGACGAAGAGCCGGCAGAGGAAGCTAGGACAGATGACGTGGCGGAAAAGCCTGCAACGGCAGATGCGACAGAGAATTCTTCAGCGGAAGACACGGTGGAAGAACCTGCAGCAGAAGATGCGGCAGAAAAGCCCACAGGAGATGAAACAGTAGAATCTACCATAGGGAACACCGACAGCAGATCAGAGGAGGGGGCAGAGGGTCCAGCAATAAACTTGGGCTCTGAATCCTCAACAGAAAAAGAAACCCCAGTGACAGGGGCCAAACCCGAGACACTTTCTGACCCCGCCCCTGCCCAGCACAGTGATGCCGACGGCCAAGCGGGGAGGCAGCCCCTTATCTCGCAGATCTTCAAAGGCTTATTCGGGTAACTGGTCGTGTTGCCAGATCATTGTCTTTTCGTATATCAAGATGTCTAGCACTTGAAATCGAATTATTTATTTGAGATAGATAGTAGTATGAATTCCATATGCACTTTCGATGTCATATGGCACTTTTCCAAGACGATTTTTTTTTTTTTTTCGAGATAGAAAGATCCTTTGAACCATTAGAAAGAAGTTTACTTTTTCGCAGAATGTATTTCCATCACACCCAGTACAAAGTAAACGTTATAATATATTCGTCAGTTATACTGTGTCATCAGTAGATTAATCGATGTTGTTGGAAATGCCATTAGATTTACATAATGAGAAAGACAAAACTAGCATAGATTTCAAGTTAAAAATCATGATAATGATTAATAAACGAATAAATAAAATGATTAAACGGAACTGAAATGAAATAGAAAATGACCTGTAGAGGTCAACCAGATTTTTAGTACTCTCTTTTTTCAACGTGGAGTATATGATTACTGTATATTCAGGTATACTCGTAAACACATTCATGCTGTATTGCAATAATGGAGCCTTATTTGAACCGCAACGTGTAACATGCCAAGCTTCTTCAGGACTAGCCTTTACCAACGCCAATCCGATATCCTCCGTCTAACAAATGCAAATGATAATACTAGAGATAAAATCCTCAATAGGTAGTCATTCTTAGCGTTTAGTGTCCGATATGTACATTTTTCAATCATATGAAACTGTATTCTGATAAGCTTTGATGTTCAAGTATTTTTCAAACGTATGTTTCACTTTTTCTTTCTTCCTGTGATGTTTCATGTTCCTTGTAAACACTTTTATGTAATGTTCAACAGACAGTTGTTTGAACTGGAGTTAATATCTTTAATAACGCACGTAAGCAAATGTGTTCTCTTTTTCTCCTGGACCTTTTCCTTTCTCTCTCTCTTTCTTATTCTGACTTTTATCATTTTTTTCCTTCACTTTTCTCCACTTTTTCCTTAAAGCACACCATTTCCCTTGAGGTTCCCGGCCATGCACTTCCCTGGCACAAAACACGTGACGAGACGCAGCAAGCCATCGACACCCGAAACAAACAACAGACTTACCTTTTTCTTTTGGAAATAACACCGTACTGCCTTCTTTTTATATAACCTTGAAAGCCAGCACTTCCTCCCGATACATGGTCTTTCACGTATAATAATGAAGAAGCTTTCACTCTTATTACTGTTCAGTCCTACCTGCCTTAGAGTCACGTAGACAGTGTGCATACCCGTGTCCAAAGATTAACAGCTCATGTGTGTTTATCAACAATACCCCCCCCCCCAGATGTATACTTTTTGTCCACAATGCTCATGCCCATGTGATAAATTGAGAAACTTCTGTGAATTTTTCTAGATGTCACAAATCCAGCCATCATCTTATAGCTGTTAGGACGTAGCTAGTGGAAGGTCCTCGGAGACAAGAGGTAACAAAATACGTCATCAGCCGACCGTTCTATCGTAGTTGCCCTAAGGTAACCATACCCCTTTAGCGTCTAACGTACGATTGGCGTTAATATAATGTAATGTGCAGTTCTTAAAATGCATGCGAAATGTGATCTGCCATGAGCTAGATGAATGAATTAGACCATTTGGAAAGCGTCTTTATATAGGCATGTTATAGAATTTTAAACATATGAAAGGGTTTGGCCCTACTGGGAAGATGGCGTCATCAGTCCTCCGATATTTAACGGACTAAAAAGCTCAAAAACTTGTTCCGCCTTCCTATGTGTTGAGTTTTTTGTATATAAATTCCATACCTGTATGATGTGAATTTGTATTATATCTTAGTAAACACGTTATGTATTGAAATAAATCATATATAGTTTACAGTGTCAGTGAATGTAATTCTTTGAAAATATTTATCAATGTAGCACGAAATATGTGTGTTTCAGATATATACTAAACACAAATATATATATGCATGTGTGTATATGTATTTATATGTGTATATACACATACATATGTTTATGTATCTGCGTGTGTGTGTGTGTGTGTGCTCGCGCGTCTGCGTACGCGCCTGTATGTGTGTGTGTGTGTGTCTATATCAGGTTGTGTGTCAGTGTTTAATAAATGCGTAAGGCGGAAATCTTATAAGAATGTATTAAACACACTAA